TGATCTAACAAAACTCATATTGGTTACTTTTGATTGCAATGAGCGTAGCAACAATACAATGTATTCCAATAGTTCCGTGGCATTGTTTTAGCTATACGTACGCCTTGCAACTTTTGCTACTTTTTCTTGCAACTTTTTGCAACTTCTGCTATTTTCAAATGCAACTTTCTCTGAGGACAGATTTTTTAGACTTCCGGAGCATAAAAGGTTTTTAAAGGCTTTGGGTGCCTCTTATGTTTATTAATTCACACATGGGTTGGGGATATATAAATAGACTCGCTGTCCCTGGGATCCATGAGCAACAACTTCTTTGGTGCATTTTCCTTTTCTCCATCCTTCTTTCTCCTTCCCCTTCTTCTATCATTTCTTCCACCGCTTACCCCGTGTGCAGCAAAACTAGATGTCGTCCATCCCACAGAATGGGCGCCTCGTTGACCGTGGGGTGCGACCTGTGGAAACCGGGTAACTGGCAGTTGAAGTGAGATCAGTCTGCGGACTGTCCCTCGCCAACAAACCTCTTTGACCCACTTTTTCCTCTTAGATGGGAGGGTGGGACGGTCTATGCCACTCAATCGATTTGGAGCTGAAGCCCCTCCAGTTTTTCCTTGGGTCAATCTTGATGGGACGATCTAGTACACTTTCGTGGAGAGTATAACTCCGGAGTAGCTCTGGCTCAGCTCTGGTCATCCGAGCAATGTTTCCTCTGTTTCACTCAGTGGTGGAAGGGGAGCCCCGGAGTTGAAAAGCATTCCAACACACATTGAATCCCCAAAAACATTCTGACCCATCCCCAGTCCCCAACGATACAAAAAAGTTTCGGCTCGTAGAAGCGGGTGTAGCCACCGAGCCGAGCAGACAACCAGGAAAACCGACCTTTACGGCTGATTGTGCTCTCCCTCCTCCCAGGGAGCTTCCGGGGCAGCCGTACTTGACCATCCGCAATTTTGATGCACAGAAGAAGATCACAGATCCAACCCTTTTCATGACAGGAGACGCTTTAAAACAGACACTGGGATACATCCCAGCCAACGTCCAAAACTGTCTTCTGGTGCACTCCTTGTATACGAAACAGAAATAACTGGACCCCTATATCTCACGACCTTCCATGGTATTCCTGTGAATCTTGGAGACACAAGAAGTACAACTGCTTGAAGAGCGTCGTCCGCAGTCATGAGATGAAAGGCTGCTCTTCAGAAAAAAATTGTGGCTATATTGTGAGGGTGTGGTCGAGACCGCCCTTGAAAGGAACACAATTGTTTTGACTTTCGATTCATGCTGCCTCCCCAGCCATTGTTCGGGCAGCATACTTGGTCCTGGATATGCAACCCTAAGTGCAAAACGCTCTGTGCTGCTTCAAGGGCCAGAAGTTTGGCCGTAGCCAGTCGTGATGCCGACACGCAGACGTGTGTACTCGTCGTGGCAAGACCGGGCATCCTGAAAAGGTATGAAAGGCTAGTCCTTTCTTTCGTTCACAATTGCCACGGCCAACACTTGGTTCCAAGAAAGCACCATCCAAGAGTACAAAGCCCGAAATGGCTACTCATTTCAGAAGTCTCGAAAGACTGTCTACCCGACAGTTATGACCCCGGTCCCTGGTCGGTTAAACGCAAAGGCAGTCCAGTCCGGCTGGTCTCGTGATCAGCCAGTACTTCTACTGCCAAACTCAAAGAGCCCGTGGTCAACAGGCGAAACTGCAATAAAAACTAAGAAGGTCCCTCCTACTCCTGTAGTAACCACCTTCGAGGGGCCACTCGCCAACTGTTTCGGAGTTCTAGGGGAGGACGAGGTGGACTCTTCCTCCGTCCCCTCTTCTTCTCTCTCCCCACGCCCCACCTCTCTGATGGTGTGTGAGGTGCCCCCTCCCCCTCATCCAGCCCCTCCTCCTTCTTTCCAACTCCCTTCGCCCTCCCTACCCTTACCCCTCCACCAGATATCCCCTCCCTTTGGAGGATGACACCTCCGATCCGGGAAGGAAGGAAGCCGTCACTCCCTCCCCAAGTCTCCCTGTTGGATGCTGCCCAATCGAGGGCGGCAGCCGAGCAAACCCTCTTCTTCCTCCACAAGGAGGAGTCAGAGCTCAGAGAAGACGGGACCTCTGTGCTCCAAATCTTTAAAAAATGGTCTAATGGCGGTCCTGCAGTGGAATGCCAGAGGACTCCGACCTTCCATTCTAAAATTGCAACACATACAGGTTACACTGTGCCCACTTGTGGCCTGTGTCCAAGAGACAAAGTTCGCCCCGGCTTCAAACATTGACTTAAAAATTTCTCATCATCATATTCACGCCGAGAACCAGACAGCTTCTGGTTGAACCACCGTCTACGATACATCGACAACAACACCCTCCACAGACAAATACATGTACATCTTATGACAACCCTCTAGGCTATTGCAGTATCGGTCACCCTGACAAGACCAATCACGATCTGCTCCATATGTCCCGTCAAATTACCCCCTCAAAATTACCCAGCTTAATGACTCAAACACCAAGTCCACAGACCCTTTATCTTAGTAGTAAATTTTAATGTACATAACCTCCTTTGGGGATTTTGGCAACAAGGAAAAAAACAATAAAAGACTTTTTTAAATTTCAAAACAACATTTGCCTTTTAAATGGTAAATCCTCAACTTACTGAAACAAATCCTTAACACTTCATCCATCGGCCTTTCTTTCTACTCCCCTGACCTGGTCCCAGATTTGGAGTGGTCTGTGCTGGATGACCGTGCGGATCATTTCCCAATATTTCTCAAGAACAATACCTCCAACACGAACAGACCCCAGAGCGCTTTAACTTCAAAAAGCATACTTGGACGGGTTTGTTATTGGATGCTTCCATAATTTGAACCCCACTTTCAGCCTCACTACCACTGATTTCACGAAACGATTCCAGAAATGTGTCACAAAGACATACCACAACCATCAGAAAAAAAACCCGGAAAACTAGGTACGGTTCTCTGGGGTGTGTGGTAATGTCATAGACCCCAAAGAAAAAGAAAGCAGCAAAAATGTTCCACCCCGAAGCCTCCATATTTTTCTGCGGAGGCCACTGCTATTGACTTGGCGTTAGACTCCGTAGAATATTCTTCCAAATTATCGTTTCTCATTCTGTCCGATGCCTTGTCTTGCCTCACTCCACCCACCAATCTTCTTCACTTCACCTTCTCCTATCCCGTAGACCGGATGTCCGTTGTGGCGCTATTGAAGATTTGGGCACCAGCTTCCTCCACTCCTTCCGCTCTTCAGATTTCCTGAGCGTGTCTTTGAGGTCCAGGCCTGTTTGTTCCCTGATTTTGTCCTTCCAACTCTCCTTCGGCCTGTCTCTGCTCCTTTTTCCCTGGACGCTGCCTTGCAAGATCATCTTGGTAAGGCCGGATGAACGGACGATGTGTCTATGCTATTGCAGTATGCATTTTATGACCAAAGTGAGAAGGTCAGGGTATGGTCCAATTGCATTTTTGATCCGTTGTTCGACTTCATCATTTGTGATGTGATCTTTTTATGAGATATTAAAGACTTTTCGGAAGTATCTCATCTCCACAGCTTTGATCCTTCTTCTTTCAAGGTCTGTATTCAAGGTCCAGGATTCACATGCATACAAAAATATTGACATGACCAGGGAACGAATGAGTCTGATCTTTGATCTGATGGTGATATTTCTGTCTTTCCAAACGGTTTTTTACTTGGTCATTGCTGATGAAGTTTGCCCTATTCTGGAGAGTATTTCTGGTTTTGGTCCTTCGTCTGTCACTATTGCACGTAGGTATCTGAAGCTGCGTACGGTCTCGAGCTTCTGATTGTTGACTGGATGTCCACTGTGATGTTTCTGCTGCTATTAGACAATCTAACACTTTTAAACTCGAAAATAGTTAAAATGCAGTTAAGAATTATTTCTTTAACTACATCTCCAAGCTATGGGATAAAAACTAATCTACTTCACTTCACGTTCACCTATCCCGAAGAGTGGATGTTCGTCGGGGCTTTTGAAGATTTGACCACCAGCTTCCTACACTCCTTCCGCTCTTCAGAGCGTGTCTTTGAGGTCCAGGCCTGTCCATTCCTTGATGTTGTCCTTCCAACTCTTCGTCGGTCTGTCTCTGCTCCTTTTTCCCTTGACGCTGCCTTGCAAGATCATCTTGGCAAGGCCGGATGAACGGGTGGTGTGTCTATGCCATTGCTGTTTGCCGTTTGCGTTTCCTGACCAAAGTGAGAAGGCCAGGGTATGGTCCAATTGCATTTTTAACCGTTGTTTGACTTCATCATTTGTGATGTGATCTTTGAATGAGATACTAAGGATTTTTTGGAAGCATCTCATCTCCACAGCTTTGATCCTCCTTTCAAGGTCTTCATTCAAGGTCCAGAATTTACATGCATACAAAAATACTGACATGACCAGGAATGCATGAGTCTGATCTTTGATCTGGTTGTGATATTTCTGTCTTTCCAACTGGTTTTCAACTTGGTCATTGCTGTTGAAGTTTGCCTTCTTCTGGTTTTGATCCTTTGTCTGTCACTATTGCACGCTGGTATTTGAAGCTGCGTACGGTCTCAAGCCTCTGGTTTTGACCTGGATGTCCATTTTCTTGCTGCTGTTAGACAATCTGAAACTTTGAAACCCGAAAATAGAAAATCTAGTTAAATTGCTGTTGAGAATTATTTCCTTCACTACATCTCCAGGCTGTGGGATAAAAACTAAAGTAAACAACTACCAACAAGCTTCACAGTGTCCACACTGCACCCACGAAAATCTTCTGGTCTTTCGAGAACAGACGAAGAAGTTTTTACTCGTTTACGTATTTAGATATATGCTTCCGTGACCCATGGATATCTCCTGCGTTGAGATGAGAAACCGCTCTGTGTCAGATGCGATACAGACTTAACCATTAGACACATTAGAATGTCCGGACTTTGGAGAGACCCGAAGTAAATATTTTAAATGCACAAAATTAAAAGGTCTGTTCTCCGTCGTTGATCCAAATGGAATTCTCAAATCTATAAAAGTCATTAGCCTGTATTCTAAAAAGTAGATAATTTTTGTTTTAAAATGTAAACATCTGTTTTTATTTTCTAATCTTTTTTAAACAATTTTTTTTTTCCATGAGATGTTTTCCTTTACTTTAAAAGTAAAATAAAGCCGTGCAGTGAGCTGTTGTGAATGCAATCAACTTGTGTTTCATGCGTGCATGTGGCCGTAAGATGTTGCCAGCGCCGTAAAACTCTTATTAAACTAACTGCAGAGCGTTGCTCCATGATGTACAGCAGAGAAGGCTTCTGGATTCCAACTCCTAGATGGATCCGCCACGTGCCGTCTCACACACACACACGGCGATACACAAATCAGAAAGCTACTGTCGTTATGTGGACACCAAAAATTCTGCACACACTCGAAGTGTGTATAGCGTTGTCTATAGAAATAACGAAATAACAGCGTTATTCGGACCGGAACCAAAT